ATCGTGTGGGATTGGTACCTCCCAGGCTTGGACTCCTCCTCTGACTGCCATTCAACACAGCCCCAGAAAGCTTTGCTCCCTAAGCAGCCCTCTGCAGACCCTCAGACCTTGCAGGACCTGTCCTACCCCACCTTTCCCTTGGATAAACACAGCCTTAGCAGACAGAAATCTTATTATTGATATTAGAGATCTATGCAACTTCTCCCTAGACAGCCAGATCTGGAAGGTGCCTTTTTGCACAAAGCTGAATTCTGAACTTGTGTGCTCAGGATTTCTAGGCCTTGAGCTTCCTCAGTTAACACTGTTTGTAATATTCCTGCAATGCTCATGTATATATTTTGTTTTCAGCAGGATAAAGGAGAGGAAAAGAGACTCTCTCCCTCTTACAGAGTTAGGTGTTCTGATCTCCCTCACATGCAGGACAACACTGCTTTATTGACATAGCCATGTCTTTACTGGCTATTTTCCAACTTTTCCCATATCAGTCTCCCTAGGAAGGACAAAGGATCACTGGCCTGTCATTCACTGCAGAAATGGAAGATCTAGCCCAGCTTCCTTCAGCTGCCTGGCAGCAGCTCTAACACAGAGGCTGAAAAAACACAGGATTATTTTTCCAGTCTCATTGCTCTTCCAGTCCCAAGCATCAGGTCCTCAGATGAAGTAAACTGGAACAATTTTGTCAGTGGTAACATGCAGTGGCCTCACCTTTTATACCCAAGTGAAACAGGGAGCAGGCAGTGCAGTTAACAGAGCTGATTCTCCCTCCAAGCTCAAACTGAGAACTCTTTCATCAGGAAACATTTAGCATATACCTGCTCACTGTGGGCTTTATTTCAGGTGTTCCTACCTGAGCATGTGACCTCTGATGCAGTAGCAGCTGTATGTCATATCACAGGCAGGTGATAAATGGAGATAATTGTGCAGCTTTGAGCCATTCCCTCTCTACCCATTAATCCACTTCCTTTGAGACTTGTTCTAACAGTCCAAACAAGGAGTAGGCACAGCCAGAAGAAACGGTTACAACTTTGAAACTTGGAGGAGATTTTGAACTTGAACAGAGCCAGGAATGTAGATGTGTGAACTCCTGCCCCTTTCTGAACAAACACTAATGAAGAGCTTCCAGCTATTAGCATTAAAAATAATCTGCCTGTCAGGGGAATTTTTCTTTCCCCAAATAGGGAAGCTTCCCTCAAGCTCTCTCTCAAACTGTGTTTGATGGTAGTGCTTAGTCCTGTATTAGTGACACATTTATGGGCTCCTGTCTTGAGGGCTGGAAACAAAATTTTCACATCTTTCAAAAAAAATAAGAAAGCCCCTTTTCCACTGTGACATGTCACATTAAGTTCTGGCCCTGAAAGGTTTCTACATACCAGACACCAGCTATAACATTTTAAGGTACAGAAAACCAACTTAAAATTCCCTCTGAAAGAGTATATTGATTTTTCCCTTCTAAGTGGCAGTTGTACTTGTGGCATGAAGGCATCTGGGTTCACAGAAAGAAGGGTGTGAAAAGACTCACAGCACAGTGAACATTCATGAGTGTGCAGGGGAAAAGACAGCACAGAAGGGAGGCTGTCAGAAGGCCAGTCAGACCTGGGAAGCTAGAGAGCTCAAGGCTACTTGTAGGGGTTCCTGGCTCTGCCACAAACCTGAGGGATGTCCTGGGGCATGTCCCTTCACCTTGCTGGGACTCCATTCCTCCTCTGCAAAGTGAAGATGAAAGTGCTTGAGATGACAGATGCAATGTAACTCCTTAGGGCTGGCTTGCTGGGCAGAGAAGGGGTGAATAACAAACCCATTGTCTCCCTGGTTAGACATCACATGAGCATTTGTCAAACTCCTCCTGTCACCCCACTTCTGCATCTCTGCAGCAGCTAGTTAAAGCACTTTCTCCTTACAAAAAGATGTGAAAGAATCAACCTGACTTCTGTATGAAGTGTGCCTGACACTATTCATAACAAACCATTACTGCAGCAGCGATGGAAGAAAAAAGATGGTTTAAGATTTGCAGTTGTGGGAAGGAAAGCATTTACTCTAGCAGCTGCCAACATCCAGGCATACAGAACAAGCAGAATAAAGCCTTCCTAGACTAATCCCCCAGCATCTGTTATGATTCTTATGGTGGGGAAGAAAGAGAATGTTTCTCTCAGACAGCTGCTAAATTTAGTCTTTGCAGGGTAGTCCAGAGACTTAAAAGTTAATTGTTGATACTACTTAAATGGGAATTGTAGTGACCTGTTGTTCTCCCATTAGACTGGAGTCCTCAGGAATAAGTGACTGACAGTATATTGTTGCAATTACTCTTCTGGTATCCGTGTCCATTTTTACTTGCCTGAGAACAGAAGTATGTGCTGGGAACAATCATGGCACTATAGAATGTCCAGTGATTGAAGGGAGATGTCATTTATTTTAAAATTAGCTGCCAAACTATCCACTTGCTTAATCATAACAAATTTACTATCTCTATCTTGACCTGAAGAGCTGAATGCTTGGCTCAGGATATGTGGGTCTTTAACATGAAGGCAAACTGGCAGCTTGCTTGGGATTTCTTGGGCCTCTCAAAGATATCCAGGTAATTCTCTGAGAAACCATACTGGGTCCTATTAGCATTCCTCTAGAGCTCAGGTCGTAGCTCCTGTCAGTGCCTGGTTTCCTAACAGTAGGCATGAAAAGCTATGGTTAAATACCTGGACTGTTATTTTATTTGCATACTATGATGAATAAAAAGCCCAGGCCCATAATCTTTGTTCTTGTGTACCCTGAAAACTCATTTAACAAACCTCTCATTTAATTCTCTTGGACTGCAGCTCCAGCCATTTTGCAATGGGATGGAAAACTTCTTTTTCCCAAACATGGCCAAATTGCATTTTTTAGCTCTTTCAGTGCTCTCACAGCTCTAGCTCCACTGAAATGAGGATTTCCATCACTGTGACTGCAAGCAGAGCCTGACTGAAGCAGACTGACAGACTCAACAGACTGAAATCTGAATGGAAAATGGGGTCAGAATAGGAGTGATTGGTGCCTGAATTAATGCCACTGCAGAACACCCCTGGATAATGCTCAGGGTGTAGGAGGAGAGACACTTAGAGAGCTGAGAGAATAATGAAAAATAAAGAGTGAGGGCATATCAGGGGACATTTTCCAATTTTTTTTTTCCTAGATAAATTTTGATGTGGTTTGTCCTAAGTGCAAGATGAGAGCTTGCTGAAAGCTACCCCTACTTCCCCTAGCCTCCTGGTAGTTTTGGCAACAGAAAAAGATCAGACATGTGAAGTGATAAAGTTAAGTAGCTAAGTGATGGGAAATGATCTGTTTAAATTAGAGCAAGAGCTGCAGTTTAGAGAAGGAAAGGAGCCATACCCTTGGGAACACAGTGATGATCTGTGCCCTTTTAAAATCCTAGAAAACCAAGAAGTGCAGATGAGCCAAGAGCTATTTTTGGGTGGGAAATGCCCTTCCTCACTCCAGGGATCAAAGAGGAAGCCATTAGGCAAAACTCAGATCATGACTGTGGGATCAGAGGCTCTGGAAAGGTCAGTCCTAGCAAGTTCAGCTACCTGAGCCAGAAGCTGCCACGACAGCAGCTTTCATCTCTGAGACAGGGCAGGGCAGCAAAGAGACACCCAATTTCCCAGCTTTGTTGGGGGATTCTCCCTTGACATTAAGCTGAGAACATTTCATTGATCACTGCAGGTACACTCATATGACTTTGAAAAGGTTTCAGGATATTTACACAGAAACCACAAAACTTGGCTAAGAAAGAGAGAATCTGACTTTTATTTAAAAAAAAATGTAAGGAAATTCCAAATCTTTTAGTATTGCAGGCAATTTACACCAATTACAAAACAAAGAATATTGTTAGAACTTCTAGACTGCTAAAGCTGTTCTTAGATTGCATATGAAATTTCTGATAAAACATGACCTAAAGACCTCAGATACTGAGGGAAAGGAAGAACAGTTCGTGGCTCTTCATCTCTTTCTACACAGACCAGTTTTCTTGAGTCTTCCTGCTAAACACCTCTCCTTTTCTCTCAAATAAATCACAGATAGTGACAGGCATTGATAGAGTTAAAAATGCCTACTTTGGTGGACAGAAGTAAATAGTTGATATCCAGAGCTGCTCACAGTTCTAAATGCCATTACCTGGCTCTCACAATCCTGCTGTCTGGAGGGGAGAGGTGACACTGAGCTTGCAGGGGGAAGAAGGGTGAGCATTTACCAGGGGAGGTGAAGAGGAAAACTTTCAATCAGAAGACCTCTAGTGAAAGCATCAACTGGGACCTGAGCTTGCTGCTGCTGCCTTTACTTAGATGTCAGCTGGATTACAGTTGGAGTCATTTATAAATTGGAAAGGAGCAAACCTAAGTCATCTACTGCCAAAATATGCCAGCCTTGCCTGGGCTGGGGAGGCAGGCAGAGGCAGCTGGCCAGGAGAGGGAGATTTCTGCTCCTAGGAGTGAGGAGAGATGGAGCTTCCTGAGCACACAGCTTCCTGAGGGGCCACGTTTGGCCACCAGGAACCTGGAAATTGCTGATTGCTTCTGTCGTGATGATGGGAAGAGTGTGCATCTGTAGGTCCTCTTGGTAAAGACCCAGCACTGCACCCCCAGGGCTGTCCACTGCCCCCTGGCAGAGCGACCCTGCGACACCGCCACGAGCACACATCCTGCAAGGCAGGGCTAGGGGCCCTAGTTTGAAAGGCAGCCTTCCACCACCTTCTAGGTGTTGCTGAGCTTTGCAGAGGCAACTTCCTAAGGCTAAAGTCATCAAACAACTTCACTTCCTGTGCAGGGGTTGCCACTGCACTGGTTTCACTTGGCTTCCTCCCATGAGCCGTGGAGGGAGGAGGAGAGGAGCTGTGTGAGGAGGAGAGGAGCTGTGTGAGCCTGTGTGAGCTGCACCTAGCCCCAGAGGGCAGGAAGGCTGGTGGCACGGGCCCTGGGCGACCTGGCAGTGCCTGGAGGGGGTGGGGACGAGGTGCTGGGCCCACCACTGGCACCATGCTCCTGGGGATCCTCGTGGTGCTCTGCTTCATCCCCTCTGCTGATGTAACAGGTAACAAAAATCCTCCCCATCCCAACCCTTCCCACCGTTCTCCTCACTTTGATCATCAGGGCAGAGAAGGTCTAGTATAGCTTTGAGTTAATTTTGCACAAATTATCCTGTGTTTCCATGAAAGAGGAGACAGAGCATGCTGCTAAGACTGCACAGGGATCAACCTCATATAACTGAGAGGCTGAGTTTTTTCTTTCCTGCTGCCCGTAAGCCTCCCAGAGAAGAAAGACCTAAGAGCTTTCTGTTAATTTGACTTCTCTTTAGGTGCATTTGGAAATTGCAAGTGTAGATAAAGGGAGGTTTATTCCACTTTCCCCTCAGGCTTTAAAATTTTGCTCACAAGTGCCTTTTCTTGGGGTGCAGGGGTGCCGAGCAGAGCTGGTGCCAGCGCCATTCTTGGGGCACACTCTCCATCCCCAAGTTTCCAGTGCAGAGCTCCAGGTCCCACCAGGGCCCAGCTCAGTCTGATGGGCTGTAGAGCTGAGCCCACCCACATCCCCACTGAACCAGCAAATAGAAGGACCAAAAGCAGAGTTGCTTCCTGAGCTCAAAGATGGGAGGATGGGAATTGCCCAGTTTCTGATTTTTGCATTGTTTAGTAGTTGGCTGATACTAGATCCCTAGCTTCTTTCTGAAAAGATCTTCAACAACAAATGATGTCCATTGGTGGTTTTGAAATCCTGAGTCTTATCTTTCTGAATCTTCAGTTGTTGTGGCTGAGGGTATTTTGTCTGGGCACTGGCTTGCTGAGGAAGTGTCCCTATGTTCATAGTTAACGTGTCTTGCCAAGGAGTACATCAAAATGCAAAGCAAGGCAAGGGATGGTGGCTCTTGCCAGGATAATCTTGAGACAGACAATTTTTCAAACCACTGGCCTGTGAACTGTTAGAGACAAAAAAAGGATAGGAATAGAAATCTGTTTTCTAGTACAAAACTTTTCACGTCTAGAACCTCTTTGAAGAGTTGCTTTTTCTAATATGAGAGAGAGAATTGAATCTAATTTTCCCTTATTCCTGTCTCATTTTTCTATAATTCTTTGTCTCAGTGAAGGCATTATAATTTGCATGACAGCACAATCTACATTTATTCAAGAGGCTTTTTCTTCCTTGCCTTTTCCCCGTGTTTATAAATCCGTGTTTGCAATATCATAATTATTTCCACAGCGGGCCCCTGGGTTGTCAGAGAAGACACTGATTCCAGGAGGGGATAAGGATCAGCAGTGGGTTAACAGTTTTTAAAACATTTCCATGAGGTGTAAGCAGCTTTTAAGCAACTCTTTTGAATTGTAGCGTGCTGCTGTTGTTAGAAAGTATCAGTGAGTGCTGCAGTTGAGTCTGAATCACGGAAAGGGCCTGAAAAGATCAGGTTCTCCGTTTTCCTTTGTAGAAACACTAACATTTACAAAGTTTGTCCTCCTTGCCATTTTTGTTGGCTAAATAATTACCTTCCTATGGTCTGCCAGAGAGGCAAGGGGATCAAGTTGCCTGTCCCATGCATTTTGTGAAATAAATAACACCAGTGGGTTCCCACTGCAACGTACCACAACTGACCTCACGCTGTTACCACTTCCATAACCTTCTGGCTCATGGGCTCTAGGTGTTAAAATCAACCTCTAACCCACTAAGGTTACCAGAACGCAGCAGATGTGTGAGGCAAGGTTAGCCAAGTTTAGGATGACATCAACAAATTCTTATTTAAGTAAAGATAGTTTAAAAAAAAATCACAAACCACCCAGAAACCCCCCTGTGCTCAGACTGGGTTTGTTCAAAGCAGGAGTGTCATCTGCTATGTGGCAGGGAAGATGAGCAGAAAGCAAATCTGCAGTGGCTGGAAGGGCAGATTTGCCCTTTCCAGCTCTGGCAAATAGCTTCCTGAAGTCAACTGGCATGGAAAAGAAAGAAAGGAGAGTACAAAATATTTTTAACAGAATATTTTTTTCCAATAACTGATGATGATTCACAGAAAGTTCTGGAAAAAAAAATACCTCAAAATAGTTATTTTCCATACTTTGTCATCCCTATTTCACTTTCTTGGCAAACAAGAAAGAAAGAAAGAAAGAAAAACTTCAATGAAGTTTTGGTTGCATCAGGGATCCATGATTTGAGAGTGTGTTTTTACAGGTAGTGTATATGGATGGCATGGATTTCTCATGATGCAAAACAATTTAATGTGTGATTACAACAAATGCCTATCGTGACAAATAAGGTCTAAAAAAGCTTAACAGACATTTAGAGATCTTACACAGCACTGCAGGAACTCCTGAGATCCTGAGGAAGCCTGTGCAGGCTGATTGAAATGATTTTACATTTTTGGACTTCACTGCTTTTTGAAACCGTAGACAACGATTTTTCATAACTGCCATTTTCTTGGCTGGGAAAGGCCAAGATATAGAGATTTATTGCTACACAGCCTGACTGAACCCAGCTGTGGGAATGGCAATCCTCACCCTCTTTAGAGGAAAGCAGTCACTCATGGAAACACAGACTAAATGTCTGAATTTCACCGTTTTAACAAACCCACAGTGCCTCTGTGAAGGCAAAACAGCCCCAGCCCATGTTTGCTCAGAATGCTCCAGATCCTGCTAAGAATGCAATCAAATCCTATTCAGATCACGAGTGGAGTAGGGGATGTTTGACCTTGCTATGTTTTCCCTGTGAAACTAATACACATTTTGGCATGATTGATATTCTTCAACTAAACAGACCAGTCCCAGCCTGGCAGAGGAGGACGAGGGCAGCACCTACTGCCTGTGGGCAGCCTGCCTTGCCTTCACCAGCACTGCAGCCCCACCAAGCCCCAGGGTGCTAATGAGCTCCTAGAAATGAAAACCAAAAGATCTCCCACAATCAATTCAGATTTGAAGTAGCAGAGATCCTTTGTGAAAACAGGTTTGGGTGCTTAGCTTAACTCATGTAGGAGCAGATTTGATGATCCACAAATAAACTTTTTCCCATTGCTCAGCCACCCTGCATCCGACCATCAGCAGCGTGGGGCTGGGTTATCAACACCCCCCCTGCATGCCAAGGCAAACAGAGCAGACCATAAATCCACGAGGTGGAAATAAATTGAAGGAGATTTTCCTTTTTTGGTGTATCAAAGAAGACTGGTTGTCAGTTAGCATAGTATCGTGGCAGGACATGAGCAGTCCAAAGCTGTAATCAAACAGTGGAGCTCGAGGCATGAAGCTGTGTTCAAAATATCAGGACTCTGAATTAGCTGACAACAGCAAAAATTAGGGCTAAGTCCCTGAGGTCTGAGATGAGTCTACGTCACATTTGAAGGTGGTCCTCCAGTGATGAGATTTGAGCACTGCTGTGGTGCAAATCAGAATAACTCCTGTCTCAAGTGAGATGTGTAGAATTCTTTTGTGCTGGAGGCAGAACAACTCTACCACAGACTTGCCCGTTGCCACTTAGGCTAAAGAAGAATTTGATGGCCAACAAAAATATGATAGCCATCTTGTCCAGAGGGGTGGAACCCAAAGCTCACCCCTTACTCAAATGCCTTATAAGCCTATGTGAGAGCTTGAGTCGGAAAGTGCTGATTCAGTGAAACTGAAATGTTTTGCTGAAATGGCTTCGTCTTGATGAAAATTCACCACAAGCAGCACCTCGAGGAGAAACTGCTTTGTCTGTTATTAATCTGCTGCTCAGTTCCAGGATTCCAAGATCCACGTTTCTTTCTGCTGGAAAGCCTGGAAGTGCTCATCCTTCATCAAAACAAGAGGTTTCACAGTGTTTGGGTTCCCTGAAGACATGGGATTTCAGACTCTGTGCTGAGCTCTCCTCCACCTGCAGTACCTTACAGAATCATTCTATGATTCTATGAGTACTAGCTGTGCTGAACAAAGATTCACAAGGACAATGGACTACAATCTTTATTTGCTAAAGACGAGGCAGTAGAGCATTCCCTGTGTCATTTCTTCCTGCTCTCATAAGAAGAGAAGCTGGTAAACAAGACTTCCAGTGAGAAAATGAACAACTTCAGCAATTTAATGGGTTGGGCTGGTAACTGGAGAATGTGTGAGCTGTGGGGTTTTTTTTTGCTGCCCACACCCTACCACTAGTCCTGGCCACCTCCTGCCTCTGCTTGTGTTTACTTTGCTCCCTGGATCACCCATCCCAAAGCAGTTTCAGCCTGCTGAAGAGGGGCTGGTGTACTCCATCTCCTTGTGCATGTGTGAACACACTAAATGTAGCCATTTGGTCCTAAATATTGTTAAACACTGTGAAATAGATGTTTTCTGGGCATTCTGGATCTGGCCTCCTTCCCACTCCGGCTGGTGTACTCCATCTCCTTGTGCAGGTGTGAACACACTAAATGTAGCCTTTTGGTCCTAAATATTGTTAAACACAGTGAAATAGATGTTTTCTGGCCATTCTGGATCTGGCCTCCTTCCCATTACATTTCCCTTACTAGCTTTTTCTAAGTCTTGTCACATGGATTAAGTAGAAAGAATGTAGGTCTTGCAGCAGATTTGGAGGACAAGAGATATGATTGTCATTCTCTTCATAGCAGCAATTCCCAGGGATCTATAAAAGGCTACTAAAAGCTCCTAAGAGTTGAGCATGCAGGAAGACTTATGCAGTCATACACACACACAAGGGATGTCCTCAGTTTTGGCAAGTTCCTAGCTTAAAAGCCAAACTCCCTTCCTCTTACAGGTCATCATTTGAAAAGTAGGGCCTCTTTTGTACAGGATGCTTCTTCTTGGAAAGTTGCCTCTCTGCATAGTCCTTGCAGTGTTTCATTGTTTGGCAGATGATAGCACAGAGGTCTGTATGTCAGAAAACATTTCCTGTTTGTGTATCAGTCTGGTCAATTCAAATTGAATTATCCTTCCATGTCACATGGTTTTCTGCAGGCCATTCAAGTGCTAAGTGCCAATGCAGTGTCAAATTAGTCAGCTCTTGAGTCCTTTGAGAGATTAAGTATCTACTACAGCTGCTAGCTAGACAAATGACTTATTTTACATTGAAATGATAGCCGTTCATGCTTTTAGTGCTCATCATCTAAGGTCCAAAGCCTTGGTTCAGTAACTTCCACCTGCAAAATCTTCACGTTTGTCCTTGGATTAAAAAGCAAATGTAGAAATACTATTCTCTTATCTGACTGCTAAATGAAGCATTTAATTCATAGTATTTTCACTCCATAATGTCCCCTGGGTAACTACTTGCTAAGGAAAGGATAGACTAAAGGTAGCCTTACAAATACACACATGCACACACACACAGAGCAGCCTTCTGAGCCCTGATATTAAATCTTAACCACACGGGCCACTTTCCATCCTGGTGTTCTGACTCTGAAGAACAACACTCCTGACCTCACAGTCTCCCCTAGTGACTGTGTAATTATTTATCCAGAAGAGGGGCTGCCACCCCAAGAGCTCTGGTGAGAAGCTGCTTCTGCAGCTTGGTGGTTACCCAGCCCCGAGCAGGGAGTGTCGGCAGGGCAGAGGAGATGTGGAGAGGAGTTGCATGGGAGGATGTGTGGTTCTCAAGTCTTATACCGTATTTTTCTCTCACTTTCTCCCCTCCCTTCTAGAAAACAAGATTTTAGTGGCTCAGCACCCTTTGCTCATTGTAGCTAACAGAAATGCAACTCTAGACTGCAACTACACGTACAACGGGACAGGGAAGGAATTCCGAGCCTCGCTGCACAAAGGGACAGACAGTGCAGTGGAAGTTTGCTTCATCTCCTGGAACACCACCAAAACGAGTACGAGCTCAAACCAAGAGTTCAACTGCACGGGGGACCATAAGAAAAACAAAGTTATCTTCAATCTTCAGAATATGAGTGCCAGCCAAACTGACATCTACTTCTGCAAGATCGAGGCCATGTACCCACCCCCGTATGTCTGCAATGAGAAGAGCAATGGGACTGTCATTCATGTGAAAGGTAAGCTGGGGCACCCCTCTTGGACACTGTCCCCCCATACATACTCCCCACATACTGCCTTGGGGCAGTTTGCTTCCTTAAAAAAAAAATAAAGGTGTGGTTGCCTGGTAAAACTACACTCCTGCCCCTGATGTCCTGAAGAAGACATCTTAAAATGATGATTAATACAAATGGTGCAGAGGAGCAGAGAATAAATAAGCAAAGATTCAGGGTTTTGCTTTCATGTACTTAAAGTTTTCTTTGTTCATTTCCTTCAAGAGACACCCATCCAAACACAGGAGCCTCAGTCTGCAATTCCTTTGTGGATTATGGTGGCAATGACTGGAGTTCTTGCTTTCTACAGTGTGCTAATAACTGCAGTTTTTATTAACTACTGGGTAAGAAACTACTATTCTCCTTTGCTCTGTATGCCTTTTGTCCCTAGTGCATTGCTCAGGCTATACTTGCCACGTTTGCCACAACCTCAGTGAGGGCCCTGGCTTGAGGACCACAGTGGTTCTTCAGCCCAGGCCTGTGTGCACACCCATGCCATGCTGCAGAAGAGCTGGAACACCAGGTGCCCTCCAGGTGGGCAGCCAGGCCCCTGCAGCAGAGCCCTAAAGCACACAGCAATGCCACAGTACTGGCAGTGCCCTGCACATCACCCATGCAGGGACACTGGCTCTGGCTCTGCCAGCTGTCCATGCCAGGGAAATGGAACACAAAGAGCATTCCTGGCAAAATTGTGTGAGACTTTTGACAGGAGGAGCTCACCTATAGTGAAACAATCTTCAGGGAAGCCTCAGTTAGCCTGAGACCATCTGCACTGATCTCCTGTGCCTACCCAGCAGTTCCCTTGAGGACCTGCTGCCTCTGGCAGCTTGGCTGCAAGGGAATAGGAGCACAGGGATCACAGCAGTCCCTCATCTACCTCTGCACATTAACCCTAAGAAAGCTTGAGACAGTCCTATGGCTCATTATTTTTGCTTTCTAATCTCTCCAGACAGTTGGCTGGCCCAGGTCACATCCAGTTCTGCCTGCTGGAATTAAAAGAGAGTGAGGAGTGATACAGAGGCAGCAGAAGGACATCTTCCTAGACAAGTCTTAAGACTGTGATCTCCCAGAGCTGATTTACACTACTTACTCCATGTGGGAAAGACTTAACAATGACTGTGGAGAGCTCTGTTCCTTGCACTCTGCCTTTCCCCTCTGTTTTTGTTGTCAAATAGTGATTTTTAACACATTATGAGGCAGTCTGTACAAAGGGCCCAGAGTCCCTAAACAGAAAAGAAACAGAAAGCCACTCTCAATCCTAGCTAAAGCTTGAAATCTGTTAAGTGTTTCTCAAAAATACACTTGCTCAATATATATGTGGCCACTTCTCATGGAAAACTTCCTATCAAATGGGGCATTGCCACAAGAAAATGCAAAGGCAGGTGAAGTGGTCCCTCTTTGTGCCTTACTGTAGCAGCTGGCTCCTAGGAGAGCTGAGAGGATTCCAGCCACCAGCTGCTGGTGCTGCAGTGCTGTGTGCCAGTGAGATCCTGTGTCTTCAAATCCATCATCTACAATCTGAAACGTTTTCTCTCTGCTGTATTTGCTGGGTGCATGTTGCTACTAACACGCCTGCCCCCGGGGAGGGGGACGAGGCTGCCCTGAGAGGGCTGATGTTTGCTGCATCAGTTTTACCTGCTGCTACTGCTGCTGGGGGTATTCCCCTGATAAAACATACTCTGACTGTGGATGTATGTTAGAGTGTTGCTGAATATAAATACAGGTACCTAGAAGACATTGTGAATTGTAAAAATAGCCCCTAAACTATGATATCTGACAGCCATGGTGAGACTCTTTCACTTGAGTTGCTGCAAGCAGCTAAAGATTTGTCTATTTTCACACAGTTCTTCCTTCCCTGAAGGAAAACAACTTTCCTCTCCCAAAGTAGCAGACTTTGATCCTACAACAATCCAGCATTCACTCATGCTAGCAAGATCTCTTTCTCCCATGCAAAATTACTTCTGAGATCAATTAAAAGCCCTGTATTATGGAGATGAACATATGCAGGCAAAGCTTTTGTACCTAATGATTTACCTGCATCGAGTGCCTTGCATGGCTTAAGCAGTATAAACTTACATTCAACACCTGGAATCTATATAACATCAATATAGAAACACTTAGAATATTTCATAGCAACTGCCCCACTCAGCATGTACAGCACAACTCAGCCATCAGATTTTCTATTGCAAACCTCCTCCAGTTCCACAGCACCACAAGTGTCCTGCAGTATATACAAACATTTATCTGCACAGGAAGGAAATTCCAGTAAAAAGGAGATTGCAAAGGAAGGGATGATCAGTATTAAGGAAAAAGCACAGAAGCATTTTACCTTACCCTTGATCAGTAAAGCCTTAAGGTACAGAAAAGCCCCAGCCTTGTGCAGAGCTGCAGCAGTGGGACTCAGACACTGCTGTGGCCACCAACTTCCTCTGTGATGACAGGCAAGTTATTTCACCTGCCTTCTGCTACTCTTATTTCTGAGAGATTCAATGCTTCCCTTATCTCACAGGGGCATTATAAGGCAGTAATTCAACAGTGGAAAAGAGGTTTTTGAGGCCCAGATAGTGAGACAGATAAAAGATTAACATCAGCTCTGATTCTTTTCCCCCTTGAAGGAAAGCTCAGCACCACATAGACATTGTGCCACTGCTGTAAGTGGCAGGCAAACCATGATACACGTAGCCTGGGCTGATTTTTTCTGCTCTTATTCTGTTTGAGCTGAGCTAATTACTTTTTTTTCCTCCTACTAAATGAGGCAGCCTTCACTCCTCAGACTGTATTTCTTCTGCTGAGTCATTCCCCAGCTGAGAATTGCTGGTGAAGGCATCAGTTTGGATCCTGGGTTTGCAGCATTCCTTTTTCGGGGGAACTAACAGTGTAAATCTCTCAGCAGATAAGCTGGAGACTTGCCTTCAGGTTGGGCAAATTCCATAGATCACTTTATTGAGAACACATGTTCTAATTCTTCTGTAAATATATTTAAACCTGAGGCTGCCTTATAAATGTGCCTCCTTCTCTGAACCAGGCCCTACGGCCAGAACTGTCAGCAGTTAATATGAGAGCTGGGTGAGACAATTTATTAATTCAAAGAAGGAAAAAATGAATCAAATTCATTATTAACTTGTCTCAGGTCGTATTAACAGTCAAAACTCCTCTGCTCAAAGGATCCACGTCCCCTTTCTTCTTCTCCCTTTTTTGAATGTTCACCCCAGGCAGGACGGACTAATTGCAGAAACGTTGTCACACCTCTCTTCACCCTTCTCCCACAGCAAAAATCCAAAAGGAATATGTACCACCAGACTGACTACATGAACATGACCCCCCGGCACCCCCCCCACCAGAAGAACAAGGGTTACCCATCCTATGCACCCACCCGGGACTACACCGCGTACCGCTCCTGGCAGCCCTGACCCCCCAGCTCAGCCACCTCTGGTGCTTCCAGCAGCCACGTGCTCTTGGATGTGGAAGGACAGACTCTCATTTTCTCATCATGTTTGTCATTCTTCATCGTGGATACCCACACCACAGCAAGGACTGGCTAAGCTTTGACAGAAAATACTAGAAGAAAAACCAACCCAGCGAGCGAGCGTAAAGAGGGAGGGGAAAAGTACAAGAGGTTTGTGCTCCATGACAGCTGAAAATGAGACACTGCTTGTGCTGAGGATTGTCAGGGGGTCAGACAGAACGATGGCATCAGACCACAGGGCTGGCCTCCTCCTAACACTTGTGGTTTTGCTCAGCTGTTGGGAGAAACAGAACTTCTCACCTTCCCAATAACTGCTGCCTTAGATTTAACCCTTAATTTCCTTTCCTGCATGTCTAATCCTCAGAAACCCTTGTTGCTCTTAAATATGGAAAATGTAAAAAAAAAAAAAAAAAAAAAAAAGAATATTTTCTTCCCTGCAACACCAGGGCACAGTTTGAAGTTCAAAACATGTGCCTGAAAGAAAAAGGAAGAATGCAGCCAGAATGCATCTAAGCTGTTAGGCTGTGGTGCAAAAGGGCTGCCAGGCCAAATCAAGCTGATAGAAAACTACCCAATTTTCAACTTGTGAGCCCTCAGGTTGGACACCTGGTAAATGTTCATAAGGCCATGTGAAGCCATGACCAAGCAACTTCACAGAGTGAGAAAGTAACCAACTTGAAGACAAAATCAAGAGAAGCAGGAGAGGAAGAGGAATTCATGCTGTCACCATGAAGAACTCCTTTTCTGTTCCATTTACCTCCTGCAGCAAGGGAACACAAAGTCATCTGGGAAGCATTAGAAGACACAGGTCAGATTTGGAGAAGAGCTTTACTTTCATTTTTGAAATTTTATTCTTATCCCAAAGGCATTCTGCTGAGTCCTCCTGAAAATTCACCCACCTAGGTTGTACCAGAGCTCTTTGGAAAGTCTGGGTCCACTTACAAGCAAATAACGATCACTTGAATTTTTTCTCTGCAAGCACCCAATTTTTGGGGTGTGAGAGGGTCCTTCATCCCCACCATTGTGAACTGGACCTGCAAGGGCTCAGCCACCTGCAGGGACTGCTCTGGGCACTTTGAGGAACTTTGTGTTGAATGGAGGTTATCCTTCTATCTAAAGACGTTCTTCAGGAATGCTCCATGCTGGAGCAGGACAAAGCCTTCAGCAAAACCTGCTTCATTCTTTCAATTAAGCATGTTTACATTAACAAGATACCCTAAACTGTAATTGAGGTTGTCTTGGACAGACATCCCTTTTCACACTGAGGAGATGAGGTTTATTTTATAGGGAGTACTGAATAAACAATTAAAAAAAAAAACCCAAATCCATATTCCTGCCCTGGAAAAAATATTGAGATTGTAAAACATTTACTTTCCTTCAAACTGGGATCAGAAGATTCTTTCTCTCCTTGAGGGGACAGGACAGAACTAGAGATATTGAAGTGTGGCAACCATCTGCTTTTTCTTAACCCAAGAAAAAAAACTTGGACACTTCCAAATTGGAAGTTTCATTGAGCTTGCTGTCTGGGCTGCAGACTATTCATTTGGAGTCATCCTGCTACAAGCCCTGGTCCTGGAGGGTGCTGTGGCACCTCTGAGCAGCAGTGTCCCCCCTGGGGGGCACAGCTCTGCCAGGGCAGGGCACTGAGCCTACAGTGGCAACAGCAAGTGAGGCCCCAGTGCCCACTGCCAGGAGTCTTGGCCTCAGCCTTGGCCTCAGCAGGCCCTGAGAGCTGTGGCTGAGGTCAATTCTGCAAACCCAAAAGCTTAAGATTGGGTTGAAGGACTTCAAAACAAAGTATTTTTCTTCATTCCTTCTTCTTTCCTCTCACCACACACAAACACACCCCAGGGCTAACATTTTTCCACATAAATTTTTCACTCCCTTTTTCTGAAAAGCCCCTTACTGTGCTTCTGTTCTACAGCAGAGGCAGCAAGGAGCACATGCAGGGGGTAGAGGGGGGGGAGCCAGCAGGGCCCATGGCAGCCCCTGGGTGGTCCCAGCTGCCCCTCCTGGCTGGCACTGAGGGGAGGGATGCCAACACCTTGCCACCTCCCTCCTCACCTGCAGGGGAGCAGGAGCTCCCAGCTGCTCCTGGTGGAGAGCAGCAGGCTGGGCACAGCTTCCCCGTGCCCCATGCCACCTACCTCTGGTGCTGGTGTCCAACACAGCTTGAACCAGTGCTCTCAGTACAAGGAGCTGGGAAAAATCTCTTCTCCAAATACAAACGTGAGGTGAGATGGCTGCTGCGTGTGAGAAGCACAAACCAGGGTAAATGTGCTTTGTTTAAACTGCATATAGATGTTTGGATGTATCTATTTCATGATATCTATATTCCTTAGAGTTTTATTACACTTTTACCCATCTCCTTTTAAAATTATTAAATAGCTAGAGTAAATTAAATCCTGAATAAATGCATTGGGCCTGAGGCGAGTCAGAGGAAAGTATGACTTTCTAAAGCAAATGTTGGTATAATTTGCTTTCCTTCTCCTAACACTTTTGTCATTTCCATATTTAAAACATTCTGATAGCTCCCAGGACATGATACTGGAAAGTAAATCCTGGAACATCTGGAACAAGTATTAATTCATTTGACTGACCAGAAAGAGAGATACAGGGAAACACCTTAAAACATACAGTGAAAAAACTGAGGAGAAGCAGGACAGGAAAGGCCCCAGCACTGTGTTAAAATGGACATGGCTCTTATATTAAAGCACTGTAGGGACACGAATTACAGACTGCTGGAGATGAGATACCAGAAAATACCTTTTACTTACCACTGTAAGGGACTGAAAGAAAGTGTTTGCAGAGAAACAGGCCAGTTAAGGCTGAAGTCTGGCCCTGCCTAGTGGATTAGCATACATGATAAACAGAGCAATCCTAATTTGTTCCATCTGGCTTTAGGCAATGCATAACATGCCAGAAGAGCCTTGGCCCTCCCAGGCCCTGCCTTTGGGGTCTATATGCTGTTTACTGGATGATGTAAAGAGGAACCTCCCTCTGTTGCTGCTCTGGACTTGGCAACTGGCCCTCACAGAGGGCAGTGAGTGGTCAGTGGGTTTATCTGCCTTGCACACAGGTCTGAATTCAGATGCTGAACGGTGATTTAATTTTTCCTCCTCCTTTCCCCCACTTTTGGATCCCAGTATCAAACAAAGATCTGATCTTCAGACATCACATCTGAGTGGCAATCAACATATGTTGCAAGGGGTCACCCAAGGGTTGTGCAGCTCCAGCCCCCTGCATGCTGACTCCTGCTCTGCACATCTCCAGCACAGCACAGCCCAGAACAGCAGCCTGGCTCTCCCCTGATTCCAGGAACCAAAGCCCGACGAGATGAGAGGAAGCAGCCTGGGTTATCTGTGCAGTATCTTAAACCTGCACCACTGAGGTTGTCAGGTTTACTAAAGCCAAAAGTCTCGGACGTTCCTCCTAGTTTGAATCCCCCAAAATCCCCAATATCCTCCTCACATATCAGATTTTTTCAGAATGCCTCTTCTTTCTTCTGCAGCTGCAAACACGACCTGTGCACGTCTGTCAAACAATATCACATCTTCCTTCTTTGCATATCACCTCCTTTATTCCATTTCTAAGCCAGACTGGGCGGCACAGGAACTCCTCCAGTTTGTTAATCTCTCACAGCACTGTGCAGCCTTCCACATCACCCCCGACCACCTACTCCCTTCACACAGACTGTCTCACATGCCACGCTCCTCTTCACTTCAGGGTGAGGAACTGCAGCAGGAGATTGGAGCCATGTGGTGATGCGAGAGGTGCTTCTTTCCTCTTTGAAGGAACTGGGGTCTTTCATCCCTTTGATTTTTCCCCTCATGTTCAGATTTTCACTCGTGCCAAAGAACCACATGTGAATCCCACACATCACATGCTTCCCAGAGCACGTTTAATTCCTGGAGGTTTCATTTCCTGTGCTTAGCAGGCTTCTGGCTGTTGCCAAGTTCATTATGCCTGTAGACTTGCCCTGACAGCAGAAGCAGCTTTGGCTGCTGATGGCATGTTTGATACTAATAAATAACATGGCAGAAGCAGCTTGAGTTTTAGGAGCACGCAAGCAAAGGCTTCAGTGCTAAAGATCAAATCTTTCCGCTTTCAGCAAGGCTTTTGCTGTGTGACTGGAAAATACTTTATTCAAGATGAATCACAGACCAAGACACAAGTTTGTTAGTCACTCACACTAACCAGAAAACAGGTTAGGGTAACGAGTGCAGCAGCAGCTTTGTTAGGGTCCAGTAAAGAGTGGGAAAGGCTGAGAACAGCACTGAACAGTAATTTGCAGCCAAAGTCGGTGTCTGCACGTGGCTGTGAGAGGGAAACATTACTAGCTGCTTATCTTGATGCAAATGGATTGTTCTTCAAAATTAGGTGCTTTTGTTAGAGGAACACATTACAGCGTGTTAGTATCCCAGGCTCAAGGGCATGCAGATTGTCTGATGTGGCCAATTTGGCTGACAAAGTATTAGGAGGCTGCCAAATTCATACAAACCCGTTTGCAAAGAGACAAGAAGTTGAATGGTCTCAAATTCACGGTGGTGTGTTTTTCTGCCTTTGTTGGGTGTTTGCTTTACTGGATCTCCAGGATCAAGGCACTGGTTCTTACTTTTTTTTTTTTCTTCTTTTTTTTTTTAAATGTTAATAAAATTGAAATGTTATTGTATTTCCAGGACCCATCAACTTACCAGGAGCACTTCAGTTTTGAGGAGCTGGCTCCAACTCATCCATCTGACCATTGAAATGACCAGGAATTTTCAAATGTCAGGTTTCCTAGCCATTATATCATTATGTGGCCACATCATTACTTTTCCTTACTGGCTTTTTATTCCTTCAAGGGAACTATTTTGAATCGAGTTGCAATGCTGGAACAACTCTAGTTTTTCAGTCAGGAAAGATCACTCCCTAAGCAGCACAACCAGAGACAAACAAGCAGTT